TCTAAGTGAAAATCTTGTTAAGGAACTTACTGCCTGTTGTTTTAGCTAGATTTATTATTATTATTATTTTTTTAACGAGGTAATTGGGTATTTGGTTGATTATGTACTGTCAGAGAGGAAAGGAAGAAAGTAACATGTTGGAGACGAATGTTTCTTATTGTATAATGAGCAGCACAACACCTATATGCAGTGGAAGAAAACAATCAAGAATACAATAACGTCTAATGATTTTCATTTAGTTAAATTTACTACCCAGTTTTGTTGCGGAATTATTTATAATGAACTATCGTTTGATTGTGTAGCTTAGCTGATGCTTTGTTTCTCTCTGTCCTGATATTTCCTTTTTTGGGCGCAGATGTGTCGTATTCAAACATCCCAATGACCTCATATGAGCTTCCTGATGGACAGTAAGTGTTTTTGTGAACTTAATTTTTTGTTCCTTTTCATCGCTATTTGAGATTAAGCATTTGAATAGATTCATAGCATTGTGTATCCATTCATATAATATTCCATTCAGCCAGTATGGGTCATGTATATGCCAACTACGATCCTATGGTTTGGGAAGATGTACCTTTCTTTCTTTTATTTTTTTTTTTCTTTTTCTTTTTTCTTTTGGCTGAGGCTGACTGTAACTTTGAGGGTGAGGGAATATTATTATTATTTTTATTATTCTTTTGCATTAGTCATACTTAGTATATATTAGTTATATTGAGAAATATAGAGATAAGGAAGTCTGTGAGATGGAATATAATTCCTAGATTAGACTACAGTTATCTGCATAATAAAATTAGAATTACCATTGTAAACTACTGTTATCCAGCGTAAATGAAATATAATGAATCTTGAATATTGCTGCAACTCATATCAGACTCGGATGCTTTCTGATTTTTATTTATTTATTTTTTTTATTTTTTAAATGATGTAGGACAATTGAAATTGGTGCTGACAGATTCAAGATTCCTGATGTATTATTTAATCCGTCTCTAGTACAGGTCAGTTTCTTCTTGTTAATCCGAGTAACTATAGCACTAGAGTCATATTGTGATGTATCTATATCTATATATATATATAATTGCTAGCATATAACATTTAATTTTACCTATTTAATAAAACCTCTAACATTTTCCCTCCATTTTCGGTTACAAAAATTATCATTAATATTTTTTATTTCTCACATTAATACATCATAATGAGTATAATCATGTATTTTTCTATTATATTATATATATAATAGTTATTGCTAATGCCAACTAATAATAATTTACAATAAATATTAATTACATAATTAAGAACAATTGTTTTAAGTTATTTATTTTAACATCAATATTATCTTTTTCTTTTGTATCTCATGAAAAAAATTCTTAAAAAACAATTAGTAAATTATTTTAATAGCATAGTCAAACAACTTTAGAATCTTATAAACAATTGTTTTAATAATAATAATAATAATAATAATAATAATAATAATAATAATAAGAATAATAATAATAATTAAACAGTTAGTATCTAATGGTAATATACAATTGTTCATAATAATAAAATCGTTATTTTTTTTCTAATGATCAAATTTTTAAAAATTTAATATGTTCATTATCTAAAATTTTAATATTAAATTCTCAAATATTACTTATAATATTATATGTACATCTGTGCATGATTGGCACATATATTTTTTTTTTTCTAAAAATCAGAAACACCAATATTTCTTTTATTTATGTTAATTTTCTTAATATATGCTACAAATATATAAATTATTTTATTCATGTAACTAATATAAACGTTGCATGGTTAAAATACAATTTAAATCTCAATTGAATTTGAATGATAAAAATAACTTAAAAAAAAAAATTATATGATAAAAGCACATGTCTAATTAATAAATACAAACAAAAACATAAATTTTGACTCTAAAAATAAAATCTTTAGTTGGCGGAACATAAATTTCAGTTTCAAAAATCATATCAAATGCGCCACTATTATATAGTTCATATTTTTCCAGTTATCAAAATATTATTTTCAACTAATCATGCTCTTGATTTGTTGGTATTTACACTAATTAGTTAATAGACTTTTGTAGGTGCTTATAAATAAAATAAAAATCAGACACATTTCCACTTTGCACTTCACACTCATAATCACAGTCACCGAAAAAATTATTTCGACACAACATATTTCTTTTGAGTTCCAAATGGCAGTGCAATTTGATAATATGATTTTCTTGGCTAAGGACAAGAAAAAAAACTACAATATTGCGATTGATTCGATTTTAGTCAAAGAAATTTTCGACAAACAAAGAAGTAACTATTGGGCTTAAATTTGTTTTTCATGATGTAAGACATGTATAAATTAAAAACATGTCTACAACGGCTTACAACGGCTAAACAAAATCAGAATCGATCCAAGTATTTGTCTCCGATAAATAAAAAAAAAAAAGATTAAAAGTGAAGAAAAAACGACGAAAATGTTGCAGGTGGTAGGGTTTTAGGCATTAAATACCTGTCTCTACCACTTTGTTGAATGTTCTACATTTGTGTGGTGGATGAAGCTTTAACCGTGCTATATGATTCATGCATTTGGATTATGTTTAATTTGGCCCAATTCCCCCC